CTGCTACTTGACATATTTATTGTTTCATTTTATCGTTTCTTAAAGAGTGCCCTAGTGAGTCGATGCTCTCGTTACCTATGAATATGTGTTTGGAGACAAATGCTTACGCGTCCAAACGCTGTATAATGCACTAGGGTGAAACTCGGCCAAGACTCAGTTTTCTTCCGTGAATGAATGCATTCGCTGCTTATGATGTACAAATGCGTTAGAATCTGACGCGTTTAGCACCAGTTGAGGTACATTAACGCATCGAAACGCGCTAAATTTGAACGCGTTCGCACGCGCTAGTCTTTGGATGCATCAAGACTCGTTTATTTTGGCAGGTTTCTGGCGCGTTAATTTTTTAAGCAGCCAAACGCGTTCAGTGTTGATTAATGCATCTAAACGCGTTAATATATGACGCGTTTAACAGCATTTACTTCTGTCTAACGCATTCAAACGCATTTTTGGTGCAAAAAAACGCGTTGCGCAGTGCGTTAGCTCAAACAACATGCCTACCTGGGATGCATGAAAACATAGGTTATCGATCACGCTGAATCTCGGGACACAGTAGTTATCAGAACAACATGCAAGAACGAAATGCTGTACTAGATGAAACAGCTCATTTTTGATGAAAATAGCCAAAAATGGGTTATTTCACCTAGTATAGGTTTTCACTCGGTTCTTGCACTTTTGCTTGGATATTATTTTGTAGAGCACACTTTGAACTATTTATCTATGAAAAAAATCGATAGACTGCTGTGTAAAATTGTTGACTTAATTGTTGAGATCCTCTGAAAAACCGGTTTCACAAGTTTGTTCAAAAAACGCTTCTGTCTATGATAGTTTAGCCATGCTTCACTGAAAGTTTGAGCTATATCATTTAACGGCTTCCATAGTTTTCGAAAATTTTCAAAATTTGCCGGTATTACGTATGAGTGTGCTCCGAGATAGAAGCTTTGATAGAGCTGTGATTTTGAGCGTCTAAAGAGATATTCATTAATAAAATATGGTAAAAGTTTGAGCTCATTCTAACACTCTAGGCGCAGTTACACAGTTTTCATTACCAGTAGTATGTGTTTATTCTTCTTGAGTAACTTGAAATGAAATCTTTCTTCCACACACTGATGAAAAGAATTATGCGCATGCAGATACGTGTTTTCTCTTTTTCTTCGTTCTCACACGTTGATATCAGATCAGTAGAACGCACCAAGATAAATTGTCATTTGAAATACGGTTTAAATGACGTGAGAATAAATTTACCTTGGTGCGTTCTACTGATCTGATATCAACGTGTGAGAACGAAGAAAAAGAGAAAACACGTATCTGCATGCGCATAATTCTTTTCATCAGTGTGTGGAAGAAAGATTTCATTTCAAGTTACTCAAGAAGAATAAACACATACTACTGGTAATGAAAACTGTGTAACTGCGCCTAGAGTGTTAGAATGAGCTCAAACTTTTACCATATTTTATTCATGACTATCTCTTTAGACGCTCAAAATCACAGCTCTATCAAAGCTTCTATCTCGGAGCACACTCATACGTAATACCGGCAAATTTTGAAAATTTTCGAAAACTATGGAAGCCGGCTTCTAGAAGTTCGGTGTTGCATTAGCATAAGCTAACCTTTCTTTGCAACAACCATGCTTGCAAAAATAAAAATTCAGTTCATTCAGTTCAGCTGCACTTCATAACATAAAAAGGTTTTTTGTGTGTCTCCCCTGAAGATTGAATTGTACAAAATTCTATATAGCAGCTCAAAATGAGGAAATTAAGTTTACCACAAAACTGTCTCTAGGCTCAAGTTTGAGAAACACTTCCTTCATAGCGAGAAATTGGAAAAAGAACAGCCTCAACATAAGCTTTTATTAAATTGTTCTTTAAAGTATAAAAGAGTAAGAATTCGGTGGAGAAAGTGGAATTCTTGTTTTTCGTTTTTCTTGATTCAGCTGAAATGAGGCCTAAGCTTTTTCTAGTATTCTCGCACTAAAATTTTCTTACCCTAATAAAATTCTCGTTGAAAAAGTGGAGTACCTTTTCTCGTGGGATCCAGACGGTGTTGGCAAGCGAAATGTTAGGTTTGACATAAAGAAATTTTTTCTTACCTTTTTCGGTTTTAACAATTGCTATTGTTTCCTTTTGAAAAGGAATTTTCGGTGCTGCCGATGCAGCAGTGGTAGGGTTCTGTTGTTGAATACCAGCTCTGTCGAATGGTGGTTCTAGAAGAAGAGAAGATGGTTGTTATTCCTTTAAACCGATAATGCGAAGGCTATTAGCAACTGAGATTCCATTGTTTTAAGCATAATTGATGGTGGTCCACGTTTTTTTGATCTCAAGAGATTCTGTGCTTATCATAAGAAAATCCAAGGAAATATATTTGATCATTTTTATGACATTTGAAGATATTTTCTCTTCTGATTTCTGACTGGAAAATTTGTTTACTTCTTTTCACCTAATAAACGACCGTTAAATGAAATTTGTTTTAAAGAATTTAAATACCAGCCATAGCGAGTATTTACTAGCTTTTTTGGAATTTATAGACTTATCGTTTGATTTTTTTATTCCATTTAAAATGTTTCATTAGTCTGGACATTTCTTTCGGTTGTTTTTGTTTTGTTTACTTTGAAATGTCTTTTGGCTTATAATTGTTTTGTAAACAATAATAATTCCAAGTCAGAAGTAAAAAAATGAACTCACTTGCACAAGTAGAAAATGACTGGAAAATGCTTCTCGGTTAAAATCGGAGGCGATTTTTCTAGCAGTACCTGGACACTCTTCTTTGAGTGTCCCATCCGCGTTAGGCATTGGCCAAACAGAAGATCTGGATAGAGAAATACTCCATATGTTGGATTGTTTGTATTTTCTTCTAACCATTGTCGATAATCATTTTTTAAACATTCAACATCATTTACACCAATCATGGATACAATCAATTTATTCTGTTCATATGTGATGTCAGAAATCTGAAATACTGAACCGAGATCAAATAAAACTTTTTGTTCGTCATATATCATGCTATGTTTGGATATGTCAGCATAAATAATATTCTTTAATTTTGTATTAACTGTAATTTTAAACAGAGTATTAACAGAAAATAATTCAGCAATATGGCGATAAAAGCTTGTTGATAGGTATCCATTGGTTGATATATATTTGCCAGTTGACTGCTTTAATTGTTCTATGTCGTTTTGAGATAATTTTAATCCACGATAAAATGTAATCGTATCTAATGATTCTTGATTTATTTCAAAATTTTCCTCAAATAATTGTTTCAAGTTTTTACATAAAGCAACGATAAAATATCTCAATTTAAATAAAGCATTTACGTCTTCTGCTCTTAATACTTTGTTAACAAAATTAAATGGAAATAAATTTCTTGTATACCA